ATAGCTAAAACTTGGAAACAGCCCAAATGCCCATCAACTGGAAACTGGATAAAAAAGATGTGGTTTTTTTTAATAAAATGGAGTACTACTCAGCCATCAAAAATGAGAAATTAGAGACATTCATTGCTAAATAGATACACATTGAGGTGATACTCTTAAGTGAAGTAAATAGGACACACATATAAATACTGAATAGTTTCTCTAGCGTGAGAAACAAAGTGTAAATAAGGACTTAAAGGTATAATACATAATGTGAAATAGAAAAGGGAAAGAGGAAATGGAAGGGGCAGGGGAAAGGAAAGAAGGGAATGGAATTAATGAGAAAATGAAAAAATAGAAACAACATTGTAAATAGGGAGGGATGGAGGGGTTGAACAGAGGGCAGGGGAAGGGGGAAAAATAACCAAGAGAGATTATGTAAAGGTGCACATTTCCAATGATGAATGTCATTATATTGTATACCTAAAATGTACCAAACCTAAAATGTACCAATAAAAGGATATACAAAAAAAATAAATAAAAAAGATATTGCATAAGAGAAATCAAATACACTTTTGGTTGAACCCACAGTTGAAGTTCCGGTAGCTCTTACACAAGCGCTAACATATGGGTGTTCTTGTATCTTTTAGGGAACCGATGGAGTGGAGTATTTAATAATCCCTGTTGACAGAGGAACACTGATTGATTTCTTGGAGAAGGAGGAAGAGGAGGCTTGAAGCTGTCCTCTGCCCTTGAGGCTTCCACAGGCGTCGAGTGCTCCAGCATCTGCTCTGTGAAGCACAGCGTTTCCAACCACACTCCATTCCTCCCCAGTGTGCAGGAGCTGCCACAGGGCAGCTGTGTCCACAGGACTGGTCCGCCAGCTGCCACCCAGTGCTCCATTCTGCTACTCGGGCTGAGTGATCGTGCCTTCTTTATTGGTTACCTCTGGAGACTTTCTGCCGGATGAAGTATGCTCAGGGACTGTTTGAACTGGATGTCTGTGAATTCTTTTATACTAGAGATACTAGTCCTGATTTTTTGAAGAGGGCCTTTAATACTCCCTGAGCCGGTTGTGTGCAGTGTGCTTGTCCCAGAGTGTGAAAGTACACAGCATCCCGTGTGTGTGTTCTGTGTGGGAGCCAGGGTGTGGGGGAGGCAGCACGTCTCATATAAATGGAGGGGACTTGGCTGGGGACACAGCTGGGCTGAGGGAGCAGCAGATGGAGTGCACCAGGCCATCTGCCCAGCTGGGAGGCACGGGAACAGACAGGTGTGTTTGAACAGTCACATCTGTGCAGTGACCTTCACGTGCAGACAGGAAGCCAGGCTAGAGAACAGAATCCTCAATTACATTTGAATGATTGTTTTTGGAACAACAAAAAATACAACACATAGGTTCCCGCTGCCTGCCTTGCAAGCGCAAGGTCACGAGTTTGATCCCCGGCACCAAAAAAAAAAAACCCACTTTATTCTTGTATATTGAGGTTTTTAATTTTCTTGAACAACATGCAGATGAATAGCATATTAACACTTAGCTGAAAACCTTGCCTTCCCTGTCCAGCAGACATGAAAGCATGTAGGATCCTTCCACCACTTTGAAAGCACTGATCTCAGCCTCTGAATACTCACACAGCCTGTCTGCTTAAGGAAAGAACACAGAGCTAAGTGTGGCCATTGCTGTGAGCTTCTGGTCTTCACAGTCCCTGAAACACTTCACACTTGGAAATGAAATGTTTGTTCACATGTAATTAATAAAATCTGTGCCTCATCAGCTCTCATTCATCTATGTTTTAAACTTTCATGAAAATATTTCCAAAAATGCTTGACTTTTTGTTAATTTCCTTGTGATATATAATTGATTTTGTTAAATCCATTTATGGTTATAGTCTTAAATACAACTACTGAAAATGTCATTTGTACATGAATTGATTTTTGTTGTTTGGTACTGGGAACTGAACTCGGGATCTTACGCTTGGGAGGCAAGCAGCGGAACCACTGAGCTCAATCCCCAGCCCATGAATTGATTTTTTTAGTTTTTTGCCAGTCATAGAGTATGTGACGAGCGAGTCTGCCTCCATTCCCTGACCCCAGTATTTAGGCAGCCATGGACAGCAGCTTCTTCCATGTTTTGATGTCTGCAGCCAGTGGTGGCGAACCTATGGCACACATGCCACAGACAGGGTTCACCATCACGACTCCACACATATGAAAGGTATCTCCCTCTGTTTAGAAATACAGTGGTAACATGATGGTTACTGGTTTGTACCTTGCTTTCTTGCTTGTCTTGTTTACAACTGTTATAAAAATATATAAAACTTACAGTGACCTAACATGCAAATTTTTGCATTTGCTCTTAGATATCTATGGTTTATTTTTATAAGTTTTGTGTCTATATACTATTGAGAACAGTAAGTATATGTGAAAGAGTACTATTAATAAAAACAAATTTGAGTAGATCTTTTTTTAACCTACAGTGCTGGTTTATTAGTACAAACACCATCAGCCCCTCGCTAACTTGTGTGGCCATCTGTGTTCTCCAAGGTCTGCTCGCTGCCCATCAGCTTCCAGAGCGGTCTCAGCTGCTGCATCACCTTTCTTCTGGTGAGACTGGGCAGCACTCCCAAAACCTTCACATTTTCTGGTGCTTGCAATAAAATGATAAAAAGACAGCAGATAAAGAACACTTATTTCTTATAAACCTGGCATTAAGACTTAATTTTTCAGGCAGCGAGTGCTACACTAATTTTTATAACACTCCAGAAATCAGACTGACTTAGTACCACGTTGGATGTTTTAATGTTTATTTCTTCAGAGATCAGGTTTACAGACAGTTAACAGATGGTAACTGGGTGGAGGCCATGCCTTCCAGTGCTCTGCCACTGAGCTGTGTTCCTGCCCGATTTTGCTTAACATTAAAAAAAAAATCACAACTTGAAGCTTTTTTTTTTTCTCCAGCAGCCCTGTTCAGAGCATACACACTCTTAGGTCCTCAGCAGCTGCAGCTGAAGGAAGGGAAACTCAGATGGACTGGACGCAGCCTCTCCGGGACTGGGTCTCCTCAGGAGCCTGATTTTTCTAACTGCTGCTACGCCATTTTAGTTACTCATGAGCACTCGCTGCCTAAAGGCCGTGCCCTCCAGGAGTTAGCGGGTGCGGATGCGATGAAGTGAATGAGACTTGGCTCTGTAACGCTGGATAATAATGCAGCAGCCACGGTAGGGCAGCGTGGCCAAGCACGAGCGCCGCGCGGCTGTCGGGACCCATTCCCGGCCAGCTCCTCTGCCTCACCCTGACCCTGAGCCGCCACCTTCACCTTTCCTGCCCAGGTCGGATGGATGTGGGATGCCCGAGGCCTGGACAGCAGCTAAATCAACTTGCATCTTCTTTTTCAAGTTTATTCTTTTTTGTTAACATAATTAAATGTTCCCATGCACATAGACAATCAACTCCTGAAGAATGTAACTACATTTTAGAAAAAGTTGGTTCAGGAAGCCTGAGAAAAAATCTTCCATGATACTTTGTTTCAAAAAAACCAAGTAACGAGGGTGACCAGGCCTGGCCTCGTGCCTCCTGCTTTGTACCCCAACCAGGACGTAAGAGTTCCTGGCGTCCTCGATGAGCAGTGAGCTCTGCAGCACATCTGTCCAGCTTCCCACCCCCAGACCTTCCTGTGTCCCCCACGCCCATCCCAGCAGCTTACCCTTGTTACACCCAAACTTCCTCCTCTTTCCCACCTGCCTGTGGTCTTGGTACGTGGAAAGCAGATGGGACAGTCCCTGCCAGGCCACCTCCCCACTCGCCTCCGCCCACAGCCGCCCACACTAGCCCAGGACCCTGCACTGGGCTCAGGCTGCTGGCTGCACTGCAGCAACCCACTGCAGATAATTCCTCTAGGGCCCCAAGTCCTCCAGGCAAGACAACTGGGAGAACAGTAACCCATAAAAGAAATGTAAAGCCCTCAACATTTTGGACAGTATCTTAAAAGATTTGCTTTTACCATTATCAGAATAACATGTTAAGGGGCTGGGGATTTAGCTTAGTGGTTCCGCCACTTGCCTCATAAGCACAAGGTCCCAAGTTCAATATCTGGTATCAAAACAAAACAAAACAAAAAACATGTTGCAAAGAGAAACTGGAAAAAAAATTTTTAGGCTCCTATCATACCACCCAAAGAAAAAAATCACAGTAAAAGTGGACTGCTATCCAAAAATGGGCATCCGAAATGAATTGACACTTCTCAGATGAAGTAGAAACAGCAAATAAATACATGAAAAAAATGTTCAACATCGCTGGTCATTCAAGAGATGCAGATAAAAACAACAATGAGATTCCACCTCAGCCCAGAAAGAATGGCTGCTATCAAGAAATCAACCAATAACAAATGCTGGCGGGGATGTGGGGAGATAGGAACCCTGCTCCACTGCTGGTGGGAGTGCAGACTGGTGCAACCAGTGCGGAAATCAGCGTGGAGATTCCTCCAAAGACTAAAACTATGCCGCGCCTGCCTCACAAGCACAAGGTCCTGAGTTTGAGCCCTGGTACCAAAAAAAAAAAAACACCCCTAAAACTAGAGGTCCCATTTGACCCAGCTGTTCTCCTTTTTGGTATCTTCTCTAAAGAATTAAAAGCATCATACCACAGCGATATACGCGCATCCATGTTCATAGCAGCTCAGTCTATAATAGCTAAATCTTGGAAACAGCCCAAGTGGCCATCAACTGAGGAGTGGATAAAGAAGATGTGGTTTTTTAAGCTTGAGACATTTCTAGCTAAATGGATGCACCTTGAACTTTTTTTTTTTTTTTTTGGTACCAGGAATCGAACTTGAGTCCTTGCACTTGCAGGGCAGGCAGCAGAACCACTGAGCTAAATCCCCAGCCCATGGATGCACCTTGAGACCAAACTCTTCAGTGAGATAAACTGGACACAGATGTTTAAATTCTGCACTGTTTCTCTGGTGTGAGAAACTGAAAGTGGAAATAAGGACGGAAATGTGTAACAGAGACTGGGAAATGGGAAGGAAATGTTCAGATGGGAAGGGAAACAACAGAGGGGGAGGGGTAAAGGAAAGGGACAAGAAAAAAAGAACAAAAAAAAGGGAAACAAAGTTTTTGTAATGAGAAGAGGGGTGGAAGGGAATGGGGGAAAAAAGATATATAATGTACAGTACCAATTCCCTATGATAAATGCTATCATTATGTTATCCAAAATGTACCAATAAATGTTTAGCTTCAAAAAACAAAATGGATTCCTAGCTGGGTGTGGTGGCACACATCTGTGATCCCAGCACTTGGGAGGCTGAGGCAAGAGGACTGCTGAGTTCAGGGCCAGCCTGGGCTCTATAGTGAGACCCTGTCTCAAAAACCCCTCAAAAATAATAAAGCGGGTTGTTCCCACACTGTGTATACCAGGTTCACTGTGAATGCATTTAAGAAGCGGGCGGTTCAGTACACTGGCCAAGTCTGCACCCCAATCTACCATTTCCTAGTGATGGGCCTTGGGCAATCTTAAAACTGTTGTTTCTTTCTTTGGTCTGAAGCAGGGTCTCCCTACGTAGCCCAGGATGACTTCAAACTCATGGTCATTCTCCTGCCTCAGCCTCCCAAGTGCTGGGAATCACAGGTGTGCACCATCATGCCAGGCTACATCATATACATAGATGTCACATATTATTTATATATATATATATATATATATATATATATATATTTATTTTTGTTTTGGTGCCAGGGATCGAACTCGTGACCTTGCGCTTGCGAAGCAGGCGCTGGAACCACTGAGCTAAATCCCCGGCCCCTCACATATTTGATATTTGAGATATGATAGGGACAGGGACTCAACTAAGTAGGCCAAAGCGGGTTCACACTTGCAAACTTGTGAGGCGTATTTTTAAACTAATCAACAGCAGAAACTCTCAGATAAACACATCTTATCTATACTCTCAGAAATTACTTGAGCTACTTCCCAAGGACGGAGAGCAAACAGTTCAAGCTTATGAGATGTGTGTTCTCTGACAGGCAGTTACCATACGGTGCTGGCCTTACGTGCCTAGTCCCTCAGCGAACACAACTGGATCAGAAAACAGCTTGATCTCTGCCCGCGCTGGCACACGCCGCCCGCTGCACACTGCAGTGCTGAGTGCAGACCGACCACGTGTCCTGGTGCCACTGTGCTACATCATGGAGAGAGGGTCCCTGTCGCACTCCGACAGCACCAGCCGCACCCTGCTGTCCAGGTGCATGGCCAGCAGGTCCCGCAGGTCAGAAAGAAAGCCGCGCTCCGTGTTGCTGTGCTCACAGAGGATGACGCTGATTCCTTGGGAAGTGGCATCCAAAACATCATGATGGGACATTTCACCTGCCGGGTGGAGAGCACACACTTAGCCCTCAGACATGGAAGCCGCAGAAGCACAAGCCACGTTGCATGTGAAGAACGAGAACGGCAGAACTGCTTTCTAAGAGGATGTGTCCGGTTTGCTTGCACACCCTGAGCAGCAAAGCCAGCCCACCAAGAATCCTCACTCCTGCTGACCTGAGCACTTGCTTACCATCCCAGACTTGGGAGGCCGAGGCAGGAGGGGCACTGTGAGTGAAAAGCCAGCCTGGGCTACACAGTGAGACCACTGCAAGTTTGAAGCCAGCTGGAATTAGTCAGACCCTGTCTCAAGTAAATAACACACATAAAAGATAAGGAAGAGATTTACTTAGTTCTAGGTTTTTGAGGCAGGGAGTGCACAGGGCCCCACCTCAACTGCAACAGCTCAGGGTGCTGACAGTGGCAGGACTCATGGGTGGCTGGGGGCAGGATGGACTCAGGCCAGCCGGACATCAAATCTATCCATCCGTCCTACAGACTGAACCAGAGCCTTTGCAATGATCTATACCTCAGGCCTTTTATCTTATTTTGATAGAAGGGCTAACTAAGTTGCCCACTCGAGGCTCAAACTTCCGATGCTCTTGCTTCAGGCTTCCAAGTAGCTGGGACTACAGGCCTGAACATCAATTTCTGAGATAATCCAATACTAAATCATTAAATGATTTCTTCGCACCACGAAGACTGCAGTACATCCCCGATTCCGGTGTCTGCCTGTGTAGGCCAAGTTCAGAGAGCTCTTTAGCTATCGTGTGTCCCCAGCACTGTCCTAACAGCAGTGAGCCCCGGCTGAGCAGAGTCCTGACCTGTGAGGTAGAGGTCGGCCCGAACTCCCTGCAGAACGCTGCTCCCCGAGCCGGCGCACAGGGCCACATCCTGGACTTGGGAGTCTGCAAGAGAAGGAAACGGGACAGAAGTGTTTGCTGCAGCTCCCTCAGTCCGGTGCCATGGTGCGCGCCAAGAGCACTCTTCGCCCTCAGCATGCAGACTGCACTGAGTCTGAGGAAAACAGCTCTCGGTGCAGAGAAGCAGCAGACCTGCAGGGCCACGAAGATCCAAGGGGTGCCAGTGGGCAGCTTGGCTCCTGGTGTTCGAGGCCAGGAGGCCCTGCCAGTCCACCACAGCGACTGGTGACAGGGACGTCTCTGCGGGTGGCAGGGCTGCAGCTGGATGTGCCCAGGAGCAAATTTGCAGGCCAGAGCCCCAAGTGTCCTCAGGGGGTTGGGGCACCATGGGGTCATGAGCTGCTTGAGCGACAAGGCTCCTGGGGTCACTTCTCTCTCTGGCCTCGCCAGCAGTACTACTCCACTGGGTGCTGCGCACCACCCGACTCAGTGAGTTTTTCTGACAAACGCAACATCTGTAGTGGGTGTGGTGGCACAGGCCTGGAATCCCAGCACCTGGGAGGCTAAGGTAGGAGGATCTCCAACCTGAGCTACATAGTGAGACCCTGTCTCGAAAAAACAAAAGAAAACAAAGCAATGCTTGCAGAGGAGGTGCCCAGGACCCAGCACGGGAGTGTGCAACCTCACACGGCACTGACAGGACAACAGCAGGACCCAGCCTGGCCCCACTGTGCAGAGCAGATGCAGGCGCTCTGCACGTGGCCCCCATCCTCTGTCCCCAGAGGCCTGGAAAAGCCTGGGGACAGGCCAGAGCCCAGCAGCCCCTCCCTGTGAGCCCCAAGAGTATCACCAAGGCCATTAGGACCCTGGCTGGTCCGCCACACACTGTCACCATGGACGGAGGACCTGTGTCGGGGACCTGAGCTGGGGACCTGACCCAGGCAGCCCAGACACCCGGCCAGCCTGGGGTTCACCGCTGACCGAGGCACTCTCCTCCTCCTCAACCTGTGTGCTCCAGCAGACTCCAGCCCAAGTCCAGAGACCAGATGTAGAGCCGCTGTCGGAGAGGTGGGGGACACTCACCCAGGCTCCTTCCTGCTCCGAGTGCCAGGCGGACATGGGACAGTCTCAGGTGTCTCTTTACCCGCTCAATCACAGTCACCAGGGACACAGACTCCTCCAGTGTACAGAGCCGCCCCATCCCAGTCTGCAGCAGCAAAGGCTGAAGAGAAACAAGACTTGGAAACGCTGCCCCTCACCGGTCCCGACAGCAAACCCGCAGAGCAAGTGTAAAATGCAAGCACATGTGAGCTCAGCCGAGAGCCCCGGCCCTCGGTGTATAACCAAATCCTCCAGACTGCGTCCACACAGGCGGTGCTGCGTCCCTAGGGGGCATGGGGGAAGAGCTGGCCTGAGAGAGGGGCTCCAGCCTGCAGGCTGTGCAATCGAGAGGTCGGGTCTTGGGGCTGGAAAGGGATGAGGTTTGGGTACGGGGACACGATGCGGACAGGGTCGGGGGCGGGCAGGCAGGGCAGGAGGAAGGCTGCCGGGAAGGACAGGCCAGCTAGCGAGGCCTCGGTCTGCCATGCTAGACAGGCTGCACCCGGAGCAGGCTCGGAGACTCGGCTGCAGAGGGCAGAGGCAGGGAGAGGGAGCACAAGTGTGTCAGAATTGGAGACACAGTCAGAGCAGAGCTGGGCTTCACAGGGGCCTGGAGACACCAAAGCACCAGGCAAAGAAAAGCTCTAAAGGGCTGGGGCGGAAATACAGCTGACACTCATGTATACTGTATTTGAAGTACTTGTGAGATCTCTAGTGGAAAGGTCCATAAAGTAGTCGGAAATAGGCATGATTTTTAATGCACTTTCTGAGCTAGGAAGAAAGATACAGGAGTCATCATTGTGCACACACCCATCAGGCCAGGCCAGGTAACAGAGACCCTGTCTGACCCTTGGGCGGGGATTTAGCTCAGTGTCCAGGCGCCTGCCTCACGAGCGCAAGGTCCTGTGTTCGATACCCGGTGCCAAAGAAAAAAGAAAAAACCAGTAACCCCGTAACCTGGAAGGAATCCCGACATTTTTCCAGTCCCACAACCCAGAAGAGATCCCGATGTCTTTCAGTCCCTGCACCATCTCCCTCCCTCAGTACCTTCCAAGATGCACTGCAGAGAACGGAGGAGCCCAGGGCCTCACACTCTGGATGGCACTGGCCCCGAGCTGCACCCCGCCCGCCTGGCCTCCCTGTGCACGTCTCAGGAACAGTTACAGACTGCTGATGCCACAGCTCACAGATAAATCTGCCCCACAAACCTGCACTCATAAAACTCATCCAGCTGTGCACATGAACCCTATGGGGCTCTCCACATTGATAAACCACACTACTGCTATGACGCACACGCTGTACCGAGAGCAGTACCCTGGGGTCGAGAACATCCCTCACCTTCTCCAGCACCAGAACCTCGGTCTTCTCGTGCAGCTGACTGTTCTGGGACAGCCACACCCCGACCCGCGTTAGGGCCTCCTGGGTGCAGGTCACACTGAGCCTTGTCTGCTCCTCACCGCTATCAGTTCTGCAACGACAAGATCCCCCTAGGAAGCACTCCAGATGTCCTCTACTCCTCACCGCTTACAACTCTGCTGTGAGGCCCAGGGTCTGAGCACCAGACTCACTGAAGCCTGGGCCCGCCGGGCACCCAGGCCTGAGCTCCCCGAACTGAGTCTGCACAGGCCACTTGAGGGTGTCCTGCTGCTGCAGCAGCCTTCCTCAAGGCTCAGGCTGCGCGTGCGAGCAGCCCGCTCAGGCCCGGCTGCACATCAGAGAGAGCACAGGAGTGCCTGGGAGTGGGGCTGGGCCCAGTGTAACTGGGGGGGGGGGGTCGGACCCAGGAAGCACTGAACCACGCCCCAGACCCCTTTTAAAATCTAAGCTGCACAGGCTGGCCTCAAGCTCGAGATTTTCCTGCCTCAGCCTCCCAAGCAGCAGGGACTACAAGTGTGTACCACCACGCCCAGTGCACTTTTTTGTGTGTGGCAATGGGGACTGTCTGCAAAGCCTCCCTTTGGTACCTTCCGAGGTGTATTACAGCGCTGGAGATGGAACCCTGGGCCTTTGGACTCAGCTACACGTGTATCCAGCCCTGTTTTTACTTTTTGAGACAGTGTCATGCTAGCTTCCCAGAATGGACTTGAACTTGTGATCCTCCTGCTTCAGCCTCCCTCAGTCCTGGTACTGCAGGCATGTACCACTGTGCCAAGCTCCAAATTTAATTTTTTAATTTAATTTAAAGAAACAAAATTTCATAACAAAAAGAGTACAAGGCATAAACCAGATTCTCTTTTTTTGGTACCGGGGATCAAACTTGGGACCTTGTGCTCGCCAGGCAGGCAGCGGCACCATTGAGCTAAACACCCGACCCTCCAAACAGATTCTTATAAAAAAGAAACAGCTGGCAAAAAAAAAGAAAAGAAAAGAGAAGAAAAATTGAGGGCTGGAGATTTAGCTCAGTGGCGCCTGTACCTGTCACGCAAGCACAAGATCCTGAGTTCAATTCCCCCTGCCCCCGAAAAAGAAACAGCTAATAACCTAAAAATTTTTTTCAACAAACTAAGATAAATTAGCATTATAAATCAAATTAGCATATGTATGTTTTGACTCTTGAGACAGGGTCTCATGTATTCCAAGCTGGCCTGGAACTTGTGATCCCCCCACCTCAGCCTCCAGAGTGCTAGGATCACAGACGCACATCACCACAACCAAGAAATTTAATTTTTTAAGAGCCCTAGATGAAGTAATTTTCTTTATTTTTGGTGCTGGAGCTCAAACCCCAGGGTAATTTTCAAACAGCACTGAACATGAGAAGTGGCACTCATGTCCCACTCTAAACAGGCAAAACTCTGCATTTCTCATGCTCTCCATCACCAGTGGTACAGGGGGTTCTTTGAATCCACCCTCTAAGAAGCCTTTCCAGAAAAACGCGCAGCAGGAAAGTTGTTAGCCAGGTGCTCTGGTTTCCACCTGGTGCCCCCAGGTCCAAGTCAGCAGAAAAGAAATGCTTAAATCTGTAAGCCGGGCATGGTGGTGCATGCCTGTAATTCTGGCACCCGGGAGGCTGAGGCAGGAGGATTATCCTGAGTTCAAGGTCAACCTAAACTGCAAAGTCTAAAAAAAAAAATAACCACTATAGCACATCATAACAGGAAAGACTACACAGCACTTGAAAACAGTGAGTTCTTATATGCTTAGATGGAAAGATCTCTAAAACACCCCATTAATAAGGAAGGCAAATACTACCAGCCTGGTGGTACATACCTGCAACCCCAGCACTCTGGAGGCTGAGGCAGGAGGAGCTTTGAATTTGAGAGCAGCCTGTGCTACTTAATAACACTGTTTCAAAAAACAGAACAAAACAAAAAAGCCACATGTGGTGGCTCACACCTGTAACCCCAGCACTCGAGAGGCTAAGGTGGGAGGATCATGGGAAGTTCAAGCTGTCTCACCAACATAGTGCTATGTACTACACAGCAAGATGCTGTCTCCAAAAAAGTCGTATTTATATTTGACTTCAAAACAATTATTAATACTTAGCTTTGTACATTTTCTCTTTTTCTTTTCTCTCTCTGAGGATCAAATCCAGGGCCTCAGACATGCTGGGCAAGGGCTTTACCACTAAGCCACTCCTCCCATATCCTTTCTGGTGCTCCACAGGAATTAGGGCAAAGCAGACTAAAAGAAGACTACATCTGCCCTAAATGACTGACCTTGTAAGGGACAACTAAATGCGTTTCCCTTCAAAGTGCTTGGAAATCACTGACTTCCCGGGAAATGATTAAAGTCAGCCCCACTATGTCATAGGCTCTGTGTTCTCGAAATCGGGGTGTTCACCACTGTGAACATCCCCAGGACAGGAAAGGCCTGCAAGGCGGGGGATGCTCAGGGTGCACTGAAGCTGTGTCACTGTGGAAGACCCCACCATTCTCCAGAGCCACAAGCAGAGGAGATGTTGCACAGCTCCTGCAAACCAGGCCCAGAGAAAGCGATTTCTTTCATACCCAAGCAGTACCAGAGTCACGGGCTTTGCAAAGAAGGGCTTACAAATAAATACAAACTCAAAAAAGAAAAGTACCTAGAGGAAAAACAAGTGACGGAAGCATGGCTGATTCCTTTCATGGCAGACAGGACTGTGTCCAGGTCCTGGGAGTGTCTGACACTGAATTCGACTCGATGGGTCCCCTCTGTGGGGTGGCTGGGCGCTCTGGAGGGATGGATGGGCTTGGAGGTGCAAATGCCTGGGGGAAAATTGTGAGAAAATAAAAGTGTTTCTGGGATTTTTGTTTTAAGATGTAAAAGTAAGGCCTGGGGATTTAGCTCAGTGGTTCTGCCGCCTGCCTCGCAAGCACAAGGTCCCGAGTTCAATCCCGATACCAAAAAAAAAAAAATGATGCAAAAGTAAGATAAACTATTAATAGGCAAAATTTATAATAAGCATCTTTTTTTGGATTTTGTGAGACAGGGCCTCCAACTCACAGCAATCCTCCTGCCTCAGGCTCCTGAGGGCTGGGATTACAGGCTCGTGCCAACATGTCCAGCAGAAATAAGCACTTTTTTTGAAAAAAAAAATCATTTTCCGAGCTGGGGATTTAGCTCAGTGGTGCCATGCCTGCCTGGCAAGCCCAAGTCCTGAGTGCGATCCCTGGTACTGCAAAAAAAAAAAAAAAAAAAATTCACTTTTGATGTAGTACAGATACACATACATACCTCCTAGGTAAACATCACCGGTTTCCATAACATAGGGACTTTGTATAGACAAACAAAATTGAATTCATAAGAAAAAAATAACCTAAATATTTAAAGAAATCAAATTCATTTTCAGAATTATTTTCCAGAAGATTAAAATGTCTTTTTAGATGACACATAGAATTGTCTACTGCTAATAAATCTACCTATGCAAATCATGGTTCAAGATCTACACTTGATCTTAGCCAAAAGGCTGAGAAATGAATGGTTCAAGATCTAAATGCTCAGCTTGGCATGGCTGCGCTTATCTGTAATCCCAGCACTCCAGAGGCTGAGGCAAGAGGATGCCACAAGTTTGAGGCCAGCCTGGGTTACACAGCAAGACCTTGTCTCAGAAAAACAAAACAAGACACGAATGCTCACAATCTGATCACATTATGAGAGAGCACATCATCATGAAGGCTGAAGCTTGAAATGAGCACTAATGTGACTGAGAACTTCCTCACTTGGGCACAGGAAGCATTTGACAAAGGCTGATGTCGATTTCACCACCATACCCAGTACAGCCTGGGCGGGCGGGCCCTGACCTCACGCATTGTCTGAGAGCCTGGGCACTGGGCACTGTCACACGGGTGAGGATTCATACAGCTTGGCCCAGCTATGAAGCCTTGTGTCCTCCTCATTCTTAATATAAATGTTTTCTCTTCCAAATGCAAGTTAGTTGCCAAGTTTCAACATTATTTTTAAGTATATAAAAATACAGTAACAGTCTCACCCTCGAAACAGTTAAAACTGACTGGAAAGACACTAAAGCCTCACCGAGCCCCCTGGCCAGCCAGGTGTTGACGCCCTGGGGTGCAGCGTCCAGGGCTGTGTGCGGGGAGTAGACGGCGACCCTGGCCTCCAGCGCTCGGACCACCAGGCGCTCCTTCCAGGTGCCCCAGGTGACTCGAGTGAGGGGCCGGAAGATGGGCGGGTGGTACGAGAGGACGAGGTCGGCCTTCTCGCGCAGGGCCTCCTCCAGCACCGCCTCGGTCAGGTCGTTGGTCAGGAAGAGCGTGTGCACAGTGTGCGGGGGACTCGGCTCTACCAGCAGCCCAACATTGTCCCAGCTCTCTGCGAAGGAGAGGGGTGCCAGGTCGTTCAGGGAAGAGAGGACGGCCTTCAGATCCATGCCGGAGGAGGAGCTCCAGGCCCGGGAACAAGCGAGCTGGAATGCAGCAGGCACCAGGCGCCCAGGAGATGCCAACATGCAGACACCAGGCACAACCGAGCATCTGGGGCCAAACACAAGAAAGGAACTCATGTGACCGCAGCCTGGACCTGTGCAGGGCCACACTGGTGAGCTGGGCCTTCCAGGTTCCTGGACAAGAGGGCACAAGGCAAGGCCGGTCTCAACCCTCCGACACCCATGCCTCACCTCCACTCCTACGACCTTCCCTTCAGGAGCCCAACTTCCAACTCTCCTCCTTTTTCTGTGGTACTGGGGCTGAACCATGGCCTTTCCGCTGAGCTACATCTCCAGCCCTTTCTTTCTCATCCAACACAATGTGTCGCTGCGTTGCAGGCTGAACTTGAACTTGCAACCCTCCTGCCTCAGCCTCCAAGAGTGTCAGGATTACAGGCATGCAGCACCACATCTGGCCCTTAAGAAAGCTTTTTTTTTTTTGGTACCGGGGATCGAACTCAGGACCTTTTGCTTTCGAGGCAGGCGCTGGAACCACTGAGCTAAATCCCCGGGGCCAAGAAAGCTTTTTTTGACAAACCTTTCTTTTCAGTGCCCTTCCCCAGCCCCTCGACCTAACACTGTCATACCGTGCCAATCCTGTTCACGTCTCCCATTTAATATGCTGAAGCTAAGGGGAAAGGAAACTTCGCCTCAGGGTCACTGCACAGGCCAGCACTAAAGGCTTACTGCAGACTGACCTCCTCCAGCGAAACTTGGGGCTCTGGAGGCAGAGCTGGGCACTGACCAGTGCTGTCGGCAGGAATGAAGCTCAGCCAGGGGTGGAGAATGGGTGAGGTCAAAGCGGGCAGGGGCAGGAGCAACAACCCCACACACAAGGGCCAGGCTCAGGAGCTGAGGCAGAGGGCACTTTGCCAGTCCCTCTGTAAGCTCTCTGGACACCTGCAAGCAACAGGGCAGTGTGAAGGTCGGCAAAGGGCGGGAGGACAGGGGGATCAATGCCGAGCTCGGAAAAGATCCCTGCTTCTAAAATATGAACAGACAAAGCCGGGTGTGGTGATGCACACCTGTAATCCCAGTGCTTGGGAGGCTCAGGCAAGAGGATGGCTTTGACTTCAAGGGCAGCCTGAGCTGCATACCGAGACCCACTCTCAAAAAAAAAAAAAACAATTAAAATAGCAATATTCCAAAACTAGTCAAGTTAAATCACTAGAAAAGATAACATCAACTCTATTTCTAAACTTCATGTCAGGTTCAGCCTCAGTTATGAGAAAAGCAACGCACCAAGCCTCCAGCGAGGGCTCTTCCCCAACCGCTGGCACCTCCCGTTCCTCACTTCCCTGCGTCCGTAAAAGCCCTGCATAATAAACTAAATTCCGACTTTTCTGAGAAGTCCTGCTGGGAAAGCCCAAAATCCCAGCTGGCTGTTTCAGGACTTTGTCACCATTTTAACCTGGCACTCAGTATCTATAAACATCTTTTGTTTTTGAAGAAAAGCACTTCACTGTAGGCACAATTATTCAGAAAGAGGCCGGCCGTAGCCACGCCTGAAATCCCAGCACTCGGGAGGCCGAGGCAGGAGGATCCAGAGTTGAAGGGCAGCCTGGGCTGTACACTGAGACCTGGCTCAAACATAAATAAATAAACAAACAAACCGACCATACAGACGACTATTAGTAAAATATCTATAACCCACTGCTTTTCCCCTTCCCCAGTACCGGGACCTTGCACTTGCCAGGCAGGCACGGCGCCGCTGAGCTACGTCCCCGGCCCTATAACCCAATGACTTCAAAAGCAAACGTTTTTCAAATTTTCTATCGCCAAGTGAGCCCCCAAAGCGGCGGACGCTTAACACACGATTGAGGCGGAGCGCAGCAGGTCAGCGGCCCACCCGCGCCTCCTCGGGGCTCCGCCCGAGGCCCCCGCCCGGCCTCGAACGCAAGCAACGGCGGCAGCTCTCCCGGCGGCTCTCCCGGCGCCCACTGCTCACCAGGCCGGAAGCTGCCCTCACACTTCACTTCCGGCCCGGCTCGCCCTCCCGGTCCCAGGAAGCGGCGGGGGAATGGGGCGGAAGTGGCCCTTTCTGGGAGAGCGCCGGGCTGAGCGGAAGCGGAAGTGGTCCGTCCCTGCTTACCTCCGAGTCCGGAGCGGTGGTAGGAGTTCCGGGCGCTTCTGGTCGGGCAGTAGTTGTGAGCACAGGGTTTCCTGTCGGATTCCAGGTGGCAGTTGATGTACGTTACCTGCGGCCTGCTGGTTCTGGTGCATGTGGGAGGAGGCTTCTCTGTGAACGAGAAGGGCGTCTCTGGAAAGGGCTCCAGGCCCGACTTTCGGTGTCCGGCGCCCAAACTTGCCGGGCGGGGCGACCGGAGCCGCGTGCCAGGCTTGGGCTCCGCTGGCGCGGCCTCGCAGTGCGCGCTGGGGACGCGGCGTGGGCGTTCGGCTTTGCGCGAGTCTGCGTCTGAGTGGCGCGGACTGCCCCCCCCCCGCCTCTCGGCCTCCCCTGCCGGGACCCTGGGGCCGGTCCCGCGCGACCCAGACCGAGGCACGGTGGCCTTTCAGTTTTCTTTTGGGCCCTTTTCTCCCTCGGCCGTTTTGGGGATCGTCAGTAAATGCAGCTGCTTTTTTTCACCACCGGGTGTAAGAGAAACCGTGCGATATTGAAGCATGCGTGTCTGGCTTATTTCACAAATTATTACTCCGAGACGTAAGCAGTAACTTGAGAATGTACTGTAATTGGTGCCACCTGGTCCAGTAAGTGCAGCTAGACATCAGTCACCCAGGTGGGTGACCAGGGCTTCAGGAGCCCTCCCTTACAGAATGCCTTTGTTCCTTCCGGGCACCCTTGCTACCTGACCTTCCCTACTGGACCAATAGCTAAGCAGTTATACTTGTAATCTTAATGGTTCATTATAGTTTGACCCACATTGTACTTACCCAGTGATTTAGCTTTCTTAGAGAAATGGCTCAGTGGCAACCCACTTTCGCATCCCTTCCTGTCTCTGGAACTATCAAATCGTTGCTACTCTGACCTTCCGTTGTTGCTTGGAATTCATTCTTCGATTATTTACACGATGTATCTGATCCCCAGCAGTTGGGAGTTATAGTTCTCCTATATCAGAGAGACCCCGAGCTGAGGGCTTGCAGGAGGTGAGAACTCAAGTGACTCGGCTTGAGAGCCTGGTTGAGCTGGGGTTGCCAGTACAGTGTCTCGTCCGTAACTAGGTTCTCCTTATTCGCAGGATACCGTCAGTCAGACTTCTTTTAAATGTGCGATAAAAATGAGTGTGTGTGAAACAAGTAGAAGAAAATGAACTAATTCTTTTTACCTTTAGGAACAGAAACTTACTTTCAAGCTTTTCTCTGTAAGACTCTGAGAAACGAAGTATTTCGTGAATCCAAGAAGAAAAAATGGCAAGTTTTATAAAATTCAGCAATCTTTAAAAATTCAGTCAAGGAAAATAAAACTCTGTGGGAATTTCAGTGACAAGCTAAGTACACTATAGGATATTAAAACATACTGTATAGCTGGGTGTGGTTTCACTTGGGACCCAGCACTTGGGACCCAGCACTTGGGAGACTGAGGCAGGAGGATTGCTGCAAGTTTGAAACCAGCTTGGGCTACATAGTGAGTTCAAGGCCAGCCTGAACTACGCAGTAAGACCCTGTCTCCAAAAAAAAAGGATTTAAAATTTTTTTTCTTTTATTTTTGCATGTGTATTTTTGGTTAGTTTTTTTGTTTGTTTGTTTTTCGTACCGAGGATCGAACTTGGGACCTTGCACTTGCAAGGCAGGCAGTGGAACCACTGAGCTAACTCCCCAGCTCTGCATATGTATTTTTGTAGCAATGCTGTTGATCGAACCCAGAGCCTTGTGCAAACGTGGAAAGTGTTCTACCACTGAGCTAGGTCCAAGCTCCTAGGAAGGGATTATTTTTTAATCCTGCCTCTTGAATTGAACTGCCTGAGGAAAATGATAGGAGCCATGTATAGAATAAATCAATTTTCTTAACTACTTTTCAATAAATATTAGTGATGTTGGTGACATATATCAATAAATTTAACGTGATGATTTTTACTCATGAAAGAATTCAAGCTTAAAATAATTATCTCCATCACAATATTTGCTTCCAAATTTTAGCAGATGCTGGGCATGGTGGTGTACCATGTAATTAATCCCAGCACTTGGGAAGCTGAGGCAGGACAATTGCTAGGAGTTCGAGGCTAGCCTAAACTACATAATGAGACCCTGTCTCAATAAAACAAAAACAAACAAATTTTAGCAGAGATGGCACTTTATCCAAACGTTTGTATTTATCTTCTATGGCTGGGGATTTAACTCAGTGGTGCTGCCTGCCTCACAAGTGTAAGGTCCTGAGTTCGATCCCCGGTACCAAAAAAAGTCCTTGTTATATTTATCTTCTGGAGGTTTTTCCTGCTGTTGAAATAAATTTGGGAGAAGTTCTGGCTGCTCTGTTGAATGGATCATTTCTAAGCATGGATCATTTCATAATCATTTGTGGTTGATTGTCATCTTAAGTATTCAGTCAGAGAACTAATGGTACCTCTAGTCACCTGGAGAAATTACATTTGTTTCCTTCTCTCTCCTTTAGTCTGTGACATTGCACACAGACGTAGGAGATATTAAAATAGAAGTCTTCTGTGAGCGGACACCCAAGACATGTGAGGTGAGTACCATTACTCATGTCAGTTAATGCAGCAGGGTGACCATTTTGAAGTGGAATTCTCCAACCTAGAAAACTTTCTGTAAAACCTTGGTTAGGAAGACCTGGCCATTATAATTTCAGGCTTATGGGCTGGGGATTTAGCTCAGTGGTGCTGCCTGCTGCCTCACAAGTGCAAAGTCCTGAGTTCAATCCCCAGTACCAAAATAAAAAGGAGATATCTTAGTTACTTTTCTTGTTACTGAGACAAAATACCTAACACCCAAAGTTAAGGGAGGAAAGGTTTATTTAGCTCAGTTTGTAGAGTTTTCAGTCCATAATCAGCTGGCTCCAAGGCAGGGTGGCTTGGCAGAGGAGCATTGAAGAGGAAAAACAGCTCATGGCAGGCAGAAAGTAGCAAAGCACCAAGGGATGACCACAGCTCTTTCTGTCCCTTACATTTTATTCAGTCTACTTAGGCTGGGTAGCACTCACGCCCTTAATCCTAGTGCCCTTGATTCTAGCATTGAACCATGAATCATTTCCAGCATCACACACTCTAGATCCAGCCAGCTCTGAAAAAGCCTCACTGATGACTGGATGAGGCTTTGAGGGGACATCTAGACCCAAACCATGGCAGGAAAACCACTCTATCATTGTTTCACATGTTGAAGACAAGCATAGAAAGAGAAAGAGTCAGTTCTGTGTAGTCACTCTTTCAGCAGTTAGTGGAAAGCTGTCCTGCCATGGTCTCAGACAGGTGGAGCCAGAGGCATTCATAATCTTCATACAGCTTACATTCTAGCTGGGAAAATTAAATATTCTGAAAAGTGATAATGACTTAAAGTAAAGCATTAAAGAATAATGAGAAAGGAGCTACTTAGAAGAAGGCAAAGACAGGCTTAACCAAGGCTTAACCGACCTGGCCCAACACAGGCTGGGTGTGGTGTCACACACCTGTGGAAGGCTGAGGCAGGATTGCATGTTTGGGCCAAGCCTGGGAAACTTAGTGAGACCCTGCTTTAAAATAAAATTTAAGGGCCTGGGATTTAGCTCAGTGGTTCTGCTGCCTGCCTCAAAAGCGCAAGGACCTTAGTTCGATCCCTGGTACCAAAAA